AGAAAGAAAGAAAGAAAGAAAGAAAGAAAGAAAGAAAGAAAGAAAGAAAGAAAGAAAGAAAGAAAGAAAGAAAGAAGAAATTATCTTTCCTCTCTCTCTCTCTTCCTGCCCCTTCAAAAAGTATTTGTTATACAAGTACTGGACTGCATAACACTAGAGATGTCACTGGAAGGCGAAAATCACAAGTCTGTCTCACACTTATCCCAAAGGTGCTTTTTCAGGAAGCAACTGGACTTCGTTTTTTCTTTGAAGACGTTTCACTTCTCATCCAAGAAGCTTCTTCAGCTCTGACAGGACAGTGGGGAATGGAAGGATTTAACTTCCTTGCAGACAGTTGGACGTTTGCATCCTTTTAGTGGGTCGCTGAAGCACTTGGAGATTTATCTGTGTCCTCAGGGTCACCTGAGTAGCGCTAATGGTTCCTGTAGTCTGCAATTTTTCTCTCTGGAAATCCATTCCTGCTCCCACACCATCCCAAATTGCATAGCTAAAAGTCTTAGAGATTCTCAGTCATCCAGGTCATGGTTGTCCCAAAGGTGCTTTTTCAGGAGGCAACTGGATTTTTGTTTTTATTTCACTGTGTCTCCTTTAATTTGGCCATTTCATGCGGGGGAATTCAGTAGAGAAAGTAATTAATGCTTGGAAGAGAGAGCAGTAAAAGGAAACCAGGCCACTAAAGAAAATGGTGGCTAGACACTATCAAAGTTGTTACCAGCCACAGCAGAGGACTCCTCAGAGGAGTGCAAAATTGGAAGAGATACCTGGTCCACAGAATTACCAAGAGCTGAACAAGACCATCATCATCATCATCATCACCATCACCATCATCCTCTTTTTCCCCCAAAAGAAGTCAGCATTATATTACCTCAAATAGTTGTTTCCCTGGTTCACTTCGCTGGCGCTTCGGGATAAAACGATGTTTTCCACTTGGACTTTCAGGGAGTGCAAAGAAGAAGAACGATTTCTAGATTCTGCAATGCCTTCCGATGAAGTGGACCTTCTGGGCTTGTGGGACACCGATGGCTCGTCTGAACAAAGAAGAGAAAAAGAGGCCAGGCGCTGAGAAGAGACGCCACGCCCAGACCCTCCGAATCTCCACCGGGCTTGGCTCCTTCCCTCACCTGGCACTGCTGGGCTCCTGCATTTCTTCCTGTTCCTCAAAAAGGGCTCTTGAAGCAAAGCAGCCGCAGTCGATCGCTTGTCGGGATCTGCTTCAAAACATTTCAGGATAAAGTCCTTGGCTTCATCGGACATGGAGCTGGGCACCTCTGGATGGATCTTGAACATGCCCACCTGAAGAAAAGGAACCGACTAGCAATTGTACACAATCCTTTACTCAGCACACCCAACATAAGGGAGTCTAGAAATTTGCCATTTTCCTTCCGTTTGTAGGATGGGGGTGTTGGAAGAAATGTCCATCTGGGTTCAGTTCCAAGTGGGGGAAAAGACCCTGAAAATATGGAGACTGCTTGGAAAGATGGTTTTTAATGGTGGACAGGACCACATGGTTTGAAATCCTGGGGGGAAAAGGTAAGAGATGCTGAGAGTGTCCTGGTTTTATGCAATCTCTCTGAGCGTTTGAATTTGAGCTTGTATTCTGATTGGTTATCAGACTCCCATGGGGCCATGCAGGGGCAACTCTGTAGGTTGTCCTGAGTTCCAGGCTTGGTTGAGCCTTTGCTGGGTGAGGCTACTTAAACAGAGTGATAGAATCAAGATCATGTGAAGCGTTAGTACCACTTTATAAGGCCTTGGAAAGGCCACACTTGGAATACTGCATTCAGTTTTGGTCACTACGATATGGAAAAGATTTGGAGACTCTAGAAAGAGTGCAGAGAAGAGCAACAAAGATGATTAGGGGACTGGAGGCTAAAACATATGAAGAACGGTTGCAGGAACTGGGTATGTCTAGTTTAATAGAAAGAAGGACTAGGGGAGACATGATAGCATCTTCCAATATCTCAGGGGTTGCCACAAAGAAGAGGGAGTCAAACTATTCTTCAAGGCAACCTGAGTGTAGAACAAGAAGCAATGGGTGGAAACTAATCAAGGAGAGAAGCAACTTAGAACTAAGGAGAAATTTCCTGACAGGTAGAACAATTAGTCAATGGAACAGAAGTTGCCTCCAGAAGTTGTGAATGCCCCAACACTGGAAGTCTTTAAGAAGATGTTGAATAGCCATTTGTCTGAAACGGTATAGGGTTTCCTGCCTAGGCGGGGGGTTGGACTAGAAGACCTCCAAGGTACCTTCCAATTCTGCTATTGTATTGTATTGTATTGTATTGTATTGTATTGTATTGTATTGTATTGCATTGCATTGCACTGCACTGCACTGCACTGCATTGTGTTGTATGATGTAGTAAAAGGGCTTTGGGATTCCTATTATGGCTCTGCCTTAAGGAGATAGATCTTTCTTATGTCGAATGTCAAATAGACTGGCTCAGGCTTTAATGGGCCATTGAAAATAAAAAAGGGGGGGCTGAGTTTCTGCCTGCCTTTTAGGGGAAATATTCTGCCCTTTTAATATTTCCTAAAACATCTCAGTTTCCTAGGAAAGGGGTGGATGCTAACTTCCTACAGTGGGAAGTAGGATACTTTGCCTGCTTTTGATTGGAGATTGTGGGAATTGAACCCAACAGCTTCCACTGAAAATGCTCTTCACATCAGAGACCTTAACCTGTCAGGAGACTGTGAGTTCTAGTCCTGCCTTAGGCATGAAAGCCAGCTGGGAGACTTTGGACCAGTCGCTGCTCTCAGACCAACCTACCTCACCGGATTGTTGTTGTGTGGAAAATAGGAGGAAGGAGAGTGTTAGGTATGTTTGCTACCCTGAGTTACATGTAAAGTAAAAAAAAAAAAAAGGCAGGATAAAAATCAAATAAATAAATAGTGGCCCTCATTGTCTTATAGACCTTACTGCATTGGTGAAAGGAAGGCTGTGTTTGGCTTCAGAAGCTCTCCCAGGCTGAATTCCCATCCCTGCTCATCCCATACATTTCTTGCATTCCCACCCGTTCTAATAATCTTGATGAAGAAATCCCAAACAGAGCCAGTCGAGAGTTCTGGTTGATCCTTTGCCTGACCAGCTCCATTAATCTGAGGTGCCCAAGATGGTTTCTCACTGTCTGCCCAGCCTCACCTTGAACATTGCGGCTTGTGGGCTGCCCAGCTCAAAGAAAGGAGGCCGGCCTGTGGCCATCTCAATGATGGTGCAGCCCAGGGACCAGATGTCAGCCGGCTTCCCATAACCTCGGGGCCCCTGATCAATGATCTCCGGGGCCATGTACTGCAGGGTACCTGTGGGAAGAAGGTCAGGGAGACAAGAGTCAGACCACATGTGGAATATTGCATCCAGTTTCGGTTGCCACGATATCAAAAAGATGTTGAGACTCTGGAAAGAGTGCAGAGAAGAGCAACAAAGAGGATTAGGGGACTGGAGGCCAGAGAGGATATTCAGCCAGTTATGACAGGTTCTGGAGAACTGATAGCAGAGATTTGGAGTAGTTTGGAGAACCCGGCAAATAGGCTGGCCCCGCCCCTGCTGCCCCCCCAGCCTCCCAGCTGATCTTCTTTTGTTGCCCTGAACAGGAGAAGGGAGCTGGAAAGCAGGTTAGTGGGGTGGGGAGGGAATGGGGATTTTGCNTGAAAGACTGTGGGAGAGGAAAGACTTTGCTGGACAGGAATTCACTGTAAATTAAATAAAAGGGGTTTACAAGGACTCTGCTTCGTGCTGCTGGGGAAGCCTAGGTCAGAATAGCTACCTATAATCTCAGTCTTCACTATCCATCACTTTCAAGCCACATGTCCAGAAGTGGCATTCAGCAAGTTCTGACCAGTTCTGGAGAACTGGTAGCAGAATTTTTGAATAGTTTGGAAAACCGGTAAATACCACCTCTGGCTGGCCCCGCCCCATCAATTTTCTGCCTCCCGAGTCCCAGCTGATCAGCAGGAAATGGGGATTTTGCAGTAACCTTCCCCTGGAGTATGGAAGGGAATGGAGATTTTACAGTATCCTTCCCCTTCCAGGCCCATCAAGCCACACCCACCAAGCTATGCCACACCCACAGAACTGGTAGTAAAAAAAAATTGAATCCCACCACTGCACATGTCCAAGACCCAAATAGGCCTTACCTCCTCCTGGGCCTCATATATGGCTGCCGCGATATTTGGCAGTTCCTCCGTCAGGACTTTGTGCAAGGTAGCTCGCCTCTCGCTGTCTTTCTTTAGCAAGAAGAGGCAACTGCTCTCTTCGTGGGAGGAAGCAGAGAGGTTGAGATCGACATTGGTCACGGCTTCAGGGGTCCTACATTGGAGGAGTTGGATTCAAGGCAACAGCGGTTGGGTCACAGTAATTTACTTGAGCCCCCCTACCCCTCACTCAGAAAACCACAACGGAGGAGATCCAGTTGGGAAACTGTTTACTACCCAAAGGTGCTTTTAACTAGACACAAGGACAGTTTTTCCCCCTGCATGCCATCACTCTGCTAAACAACTAATTCCCACAACACTGTCAAAATACCGTATTTTTTGGAGTATAAGAGACACTTTTTCGCCCCCAAAAGAGGGTGAAAATTTGGGTGTGTCTTATACACTGAATGTAGCTCCATCCACCCACCGGCCCCCACCCTTTGGCCTCTGCATCCCAACAATTTACTTCCTTGCAGCAAACAGCCTGTTTCCATTGATTAGCACAAGCTGCTGATTGTCAGTTGGATCAGCCTCCTGACCATCAGCTGTTTCAGGCTGCAGGGACTGCCATTGCCTATTGCCTCCGTGTATCCTATTTTCGGCCTCCGCATGCCATTTTTGGCCTCTGCGCACCCCGTTTTCGGGCTCCACGTGCTCCATTTTCCACCCATTCCGATCCCTGCCGCCCAGAATGGCCAGAAAATAGGGCCTGTGGAGGCCAAAAACGGGGTGTGAGGAGGCAGCAATAGGCTATGGCAATACCTGCAGCCTGAAACAACTGTTGGTCTGGAGGCCAATCCAAACTACAATCAGCTGCTTGTGCTAATTAGGCTATGCTGAAGCTGAAACTGGCTGTTTGCTGTTTGCTGCAAGGAAGTAAATTGTTGGGATGCAGAGGCCAAAGGGTGGGGGCCGGTGGGTGGATGGAGCTACAT